GGGTGCCTGCGGGGGCGTGTGGCTTTGCAGGGTGCCCTGGTTTCTGCGGGCGGGTGCCAGGCCCGCATGGGGGTGGGGGCTCCGCGTGCTGTGAGTCGGGCAGAAAGCCTGTCTGCGCCCCAGTGTGGGGTGAGCAATGCGCTGTCACCCTCACCGTCCCCTTCAGGCCCAGCAGGAGTTCCCTACAGAGGGAGCAAACGGGCGCGGACGCCTGTGCAGAGGACAGAGCGGCGATGGTTCCGGGGACAACTGGGGACCCTGTGGGCTGGGGGCCTCCGGGGCTCCGTTCTCCGCGGGGAGGGGCCTGGCTTCTTTGGGAAAGGAATGCCATTTGCTCCCTGGTGAGTTGTGCCGGAGGGACTTCCGTGGGCCTGGCCGGGCCGGGCCGTGGGCGCTGTCGGGAGTGGGACGAAGTGAGCAGTGGCAGGCTCTCCGGGGCGGTCACTGGTTCTGGGCAGAGGCCACCCCAGGAATGTGACCAACAGGAAGTAATTAGTAAACAACTCGGTGCTGAACTGGCAGCTCCCTGCAGAAAAGGGGGCAGGAAGCTGCCCAGAGTCGGAGGGAGCAGGGGACTCGGAGGGGAGGGCTCAGCCACTGGCCGACGTGGGAGCTCGTGGCGGGGAGGTGGGGGGGAGGGACAGGGCGGGGAACACAGTTGTTCTGAAGGGGAAGGTGACATGGGAAGGTGGAGGGCACAGCAGGGCCTGAGAGGGGGTCGTGTTTGAAGAGCGTAACTGGCTTGACTGGCATCGATTGGGAAGTGGAAAGGCAGGAAGGAGGGAAGGAAAGACAGAATAAGGAGCGATGGACAGGTGAGGGAGGGAGGGCTGAGGAGGGGAAGGAAGGAGGGGGAGGGGGATTATTGGTTTCTGAGTGTCCGGCATGATTCCGTGTGTCTTCCACATCATGTCACAGTCACTGCCGCCCACCCTGAGGGCAGCACCTGACCCCCCATCATGGAGGAGGAAGGCCTGCACTGGAGGGGTCCCTGCCCTGGGCACCTGCTTGGGAGCAGGGTCGTTCCAGTTGGTGCCTGAATAGCATCCAGCAGAGCGGTCTTAGGAAATGGCGTCTTATCAGGATGCAGCCAGCAGGATTCAGGCCCAGAAATGCCAGACAAAGACCCAGCGGGAGGCAGGGTGGAGGCTGGAGACCAGGGCGGAGAGATTTCAAAGGAGGAGACACCGCGGGGGGGATAGACTGCTTGTCAGTGAAGGCTGGGAAAGGCCTGGCTTCCACCTCGAGGCCTGGAAAGGAGCTGGGCCGGTGCCTGGATCCAGTCTGGGAGACAAGGGAGACCTCTGTTCGTCGAATCCTGCTTGTGTCTTCGGGTGGGTTACGGCGTCTCTCTGAGCCTCAGTTTCCTCATCTGTAAAATGGGACTAGGAACAGGACGTCCTGCAAGAGTCTGTGAGGATTGAACCCAGGATGCCCGTGATGGTGTGGGACCCTCCGTGGAATCAGAGCGGTACGCGTTTGCTGTTACTGGTTTTGAAAAGTCGCCTTAGGAATCACGGAGTTGGGAGGACATTTCCTTCAAAAACGCTGTCGTTGGACAGGGAAGGGTGAGTGAGGCTGTGGGTCCTCCCTGTGTGACGACAACCTTCCTTCATGCTGAACCTCAGATCCCAACGGGGCGTGTTGCCTACACCCCATCGCGTGGACTTCCCTCCCCAGGCGACAGTGGACCGCCGGCAATGGGGTCCACTCAGGCTCCCTCAGGGCAACTGCAAAAGTCAGACGGAGCCTCGCCCTCTAACCTCCGCCAGCAGAGGCCTTTGCTACGGTTTCTTGCAAAGGAAGTGTCCCCTTGCAGTGTCTGCCCTGCAGGAGGCCAGGAGGGCCAGGCACCCCCAGCTCCCTGGATGCCCGGTCCCCTGGGCCTTTGCCCGGAGGCTGGGGGACTCCCAGACCCCAGGGCCAGGCCAGGGCCCTGCTCTCTTGCCTCCTGGCGGAAGACCTGTCTGCTTTTGCGATTAAGGAAATGACTTCAGTTGTTAATCCCCCTTGGGATAGGTATTGGAGGCGTTGCTCTTTTTTGGGGGGAAATGACCGGCTCTTCAAGGATTCTACGGGTTGGCATGAAAATCAGACGGATCGAGCCTTGTTAAAAGGACCCTAAATTCCATAATTGCCTGTTCTGTGCTCACGGGTTTGGAAGAGTGACGATGATGATGTTGATGATGATAATGACAATAATCACTGCCTTTATGGGTGCCCGGAGACCCGGCATCTCACACAGAGTCCTGTGCAGCGGGCAGCAGTGTTTTCCTGCTTTAAATGCAGAAGCTGAGGCTCAGGGAGAGCAAACGAACTGCTCAAGGCCACACATTCCTAGGAAGGGGGGCCCCTGCCACTCCGTCCCCCTCCCCCGCCCCTCCTGGTCTGGTCTGGTCTGGCTGCAGTAGCACCTTCCCTGTGACCATGACCTTGACCATGTTGCCTCCCAGACAAGGGATGCTGCGTCCAAATGCAAACTTCAGCTTGCCAGGCAAATGGAAAGGATTACACACGTCTTTGAACTTACAGAATTTCTCAAAGGCAGGGAGCTCCCATCTATTTAGACTGCGTTTTCAGTCAAACCACGAGGCGAGCGGCTCGGGGAGGACAGTGCTGCCCTGGACTCAGGGCGTTGCACTCTCTCCGTACCTCTCCCTCTCTCCTCCGCCCTCCCTTCCGCTCACCTCCCCTGCTCCCTCTCCCTTCCCCTTTCCCCTCTCCCCCACCATCTATTCTCTTCCCTCACGGTGGAGGTGGATGTCACTCACGGGGTGATCTCTTCCTACTGGGAGCCAGGAGCCTCTGGAAGGGGAAGGCTCGTAGACCTGTGCCCCGAAAAGGAGGAGGGAGGGGGGCGCTCTCTGGAATGACCAGCTCCAGGTGCTTAGGAGCCATGGGAGCCGAGCCCTGTCGCTGTCCCAGTGCTTGCTGGGTGCCAGGCCCGCGGCCTGGGCCTGTGGGAGCCACCGGGTGAGTGTCAGGGTCAGAGATCCCAGCTCTCCCTGCGCGTGCTTCCATGTGGGAGCAAAGGGAAGTCCAGGGAGTGTCCCCCACCCACCCGCCAGGCTGCTCGCTGGGGTGGCACATTTCCCCAGCCCGACCTCCAAATGGCAGGTGTGGTGCGTGCTGGGTGCAGAGGCCCCGGTCCACGTGGGTGCGTGGGGCGTGCATTTCTAAGCACAGCCGTTCCACACGCCGCGTGCTGGTGGCTGGTGACCCTCAGGTCCTCTCGTACCAGGAAGGGTGTTCCTCAAACTCTAGAGTCAGTTGTTCGTGCCGTGGACTTGTCTGCGAGGGAAGGGACCCGGCTCCGTGGACACGTCCCGGGAAGACCCGAGGGGCCTCTCCGCTGTAGCCGCCTGGCAGCTGTGCAGCGGGTCCCTCTGTGGTTCCCGCTTGCCCGGCGGCTGGCTGATGACGGCGAGAACCTTCCTGTGTGCTCAGGGCCACTGGCGTTCCACCTTTGGTGGACAGGCTGATCAGGGCTTTAAAGTTGGGTTGTGGGTCTTTCATTCTTGTTGACTGACGTGTAGGGGCATCTCGTTACTAACAGCCGCTCCCGGTGACTTAACACCGAAGTCAGGGACCCACCTCGCTAAGCCCTCCTGAAACGGCCCAGTTTTCCTGAGGCCCCTCCCTCCCTCCCTCCCTCCCTCCCTCCCTCCCTCCCTCCCTCCCTCCCTCCCTCCCTCCCTCCCTTCTTTTGTTTCTTTTTTTTAGACAGGGGGAAGGGAGAGGAAGAGAGAGAAACATCAGTGATGAGAAAGAATCATGGATCGGCTGCCTCCTGCATGGGATCGAGCCCGCGACCCGGGCATGTGCCCTGACCGGGAATCGAACCGGGACCTCCTGGTTCCTGGGTCCACACAACACTCAATTACCGGGCTCCACTGTCATCTTATCAGCACCACAACCTCGCCGGAGACCTGTGGTGTGAGGAAGATGGACTTCCGCCACCTCGTTTCCCGTGTCCCCCTCTCTTCTCCACCAGCCTGTCTCCTCCGTGGGGCGCATGCTCAGTACGCGCTGTGCCTGCGTTTGGGGATGTGGGTGGATGTGACCGGCTTCGGGTCACCAGAGGAATGGTCTCATTACCTTCCGCCCTGGGCGCCCCCTGTGTCATAATCTACCGTGTGCGCACAATGGCTCCCATCTCTCTGCTCCCGGGAATCGGAGGCAGGGGTGGAAGCTGTGCAGGCCCCAGGGAGCTCAGAAAGTTGCATCGTGTCCAGGGCGCTCAGGGCGCAGGTGGTCCCAGTCCCCCTTCCCAGCCGAGCACAGCCCAGAGGGCGGGACGGTGTCTCGGTGGGACAGGCTGATGGTCTGTTCTCAGCACGGTCACCCCAGAGGGCGGAGGGCGAGGTGTGTGCAGGAGAGGATGGAGGGCCACTGGGGGCGGGGGGGGGGGGAGGGGGAGGTGTGAGCAGGAGAAGATGGAGAGCCACGGGGGGGGGGGGGTGGGGGAGGTGTGTGCAGGAGAGGATGGAGAGCCACCCGGGGGCGGGGGGTGGGGGTGGGGGAGGTGTGTGCAGGAGAGGATGGAGAGCCACCCGGGGGCGGGGGGTGGGGGTGGGGGAGGTGTGTGCAGGAGAGGATGGAGAGCCACCCGGGGGCGGGGGGTGGGGGTGGGGGAGGTGTGTGCAGGAGAGGATGGAGAGCCACCCGGGGGCGGGGGGGAGGGGGAGGTATGTGATGGAGAGGCGAGCAGGGACAGAGCGCCTTCTGCTTTGCCTTTGGTGACAAAGGGAGTTCCCTCTTACCGCCTACACTCTGCAAGGCTACTGGAGGCCCAGCGAGGCGGGTATTCGTGGCCGGGGGGGGCGGGGGGGACACGTGTGCGGGTGTCCTCGCCCTTCCCCCCCCTCCCCCTTGGCCCAGAGGCCTAGGGAGGTGTATTCACAGCACCGTGACCACTCACACACGTGCGGTGGTTGGGTGCGCACTGCGGCCTCCATCGGTGGCTGCGGGGCTGGCTCCCACGTGGTCTCCCCTTGCAGGCCGGCTGTGACGGGGAGAGCATTGGCAACTGCCCCTTCTCTCAGCGCCTCTTCATGATTCTCTGGCTGAAGGGCGTCATATTTAATGTGACAACAGTGGACCTGAAAAGGTAAGACAGGGTTCCTGCATTATCGAAATAACGGCTTAGTCACACGCACACACACGCACACACATGGCGCTATCCGGGCATGTCCATCCTCAGCCAGGACCCCGCGTTGGCCTGAGTGTGGGTGAGCAGCAGTCACACACACACACACACACACACACACACACACACACACACATGGCGCTATCCGGGCATGTCCATCCTCAGCCAGGACCCCGCGTTGGCCCGACTGTGGGTGAGCAGCAGTCACACACACACACACACACGGCGCTATCCGGGCATGTCCATCCTCAGCCAGGACCCCGCGTTGGCCCGACTGTGGGTGAGCAGCAGTCACACACACACACACACACACACACACACACACGCACACACACACACACACACGGCGCTATCCGGGCATGTCCATCCTCAGCCAGGACCCCGCGTTGGCCCGACTGTGGGTGAGCAGCAGTCACAGGCCCGGGTCAGAGGGAATCAGGAAGGAGTATGAGTTGGGGCGCCAGAAGGAACCTGTTCCCCAGTTCCTGGTCAGCCATAGCTTCCCACAGGCCCGTGAGCTCCACTCCTGGCCGGGCCTGGGGAGAGCCCACTCTCACCTCCGTGTCCAGAGCGGGCCACACGGTCACTGCCCTGAGACACACACAAGGCCCCGTCTCCTCTACGCTCTCAACGGTGGGTTCTCTTTAATGGGGGGGACACGCTATGCCTTGGAAACGGAGCTCGGCCCTGGCGGCTGCCGACCAAGGCTGCTGTCTGCACCCCCGGCCCCGCTCCCCTCAGGAAGCCCGCGGACCTGCAGAACCTCGCTCCGGGAACCAACCCGCCTTTCATGACGTTCGATGGGGAAGTCAAGACGGACGTGAATAAGATCGAGGAGTTCTTGGAGGAGTGCCTGGCTCCCCCGAGGTAGGCCTTAGGGGGCAGCCTCACGGCCGGTCCCCACTGTACCCGCTTCCCAGGCAGCTCGAAAGCCTTGGCCGTGGGAGTCACTCCTCGCTGCCCGCCCCCCCACCCCCGGGGTGCGCCACAGCCAACAGGGTGGGACTAGAACCCCCCCCCACCCCACCGCCCAGTGAAGGCGGCCCGGGCTTTGCTGTGAGCCTGCAGCTTGGCAGGTCTGGTTCGAAGGCAGGAAGTGGGGGGTGGTCGGTGCCGTGTGGGTGGGCCACGTCCTAGGCGCTTGGCTGGAAGGAAGGAGAGAGCATGCTGGCATACCATGCCCTGGAGCCTGGACCCGGAATGGAACCTTCTAGGCCCGCACCTTCCTTTGAGTAGGGAGGGAGCGAAGACCAGTGCGGCCAGGTGAGCCCTGTGCTCAGGCCGAGAGCAATCAGTCTAGACCCGTGGTCGGCAAACTGTGGCTCTCGAGCCACATGTGGCTCTTTGGCCCCTTGAGTGTGGCTCTTCCTAAGCCTTAGGAGTACCCTAATTAAGTTAATAACAATGTACCTACCTATATAGTTTAAGTTTAAAAAATTTGGCTCTCAAAAGAAATTTCAATCGTTGTCCTGTTGATATTTGGCTCTGTTGACCAATGAGTTTGCCGACCACTGGGTTAGACCTTTCTCCCTGCCCTGGTGGCTCCAGGCCTTGGAGACGAAACGCTTAGGACAGCACTCAGGGAAAGTTTTTGTTTTTGTATCCACTCGGAGAAAGACCCCCCCCCCCCCCCCCATGGTGTCATCCCTGTTCAAATATCGCTCCTGTGACATCCCCATGTCCCCATGTTGAATTTTTCAAGGTACCCTAAGCTGGGGACCCAGCACCCTGAGTCTAACTCCGCCGGGGATGACGTGTTTGCCAAGTTCTCAGCGTTTATAAAGAACACCAAGAAGGACGCACACGAGAGTGAGTGCCTGCCGCCTCCCGGGGCTCTGCTTCCAGCCTCCCCTCGGCCTCTGTGTGGTTCGGGGTCCCGGGAACCGCGCCTCATGGCACAGGGGAGGCCTGTGTCTAGCGATGAGGAAAAGTGCCTCCACCTGGGCCTGCAGTGGGTTTCAGAGACACCGCGCTTCTAGGGCTTGGAAGCCGGAAAGCACCATGTTTAGGGCAGCGTCGCCAACCTTTCGGACCTCACGGACCATCAGTGGCCCACGGACCAGCGGTTGGCGACGCTGTTTTAGGGCGAACCACTCGGCCCGCGTGCTGTGCCCAGCTGACCTGGAGTCAGTTTAAGGGATGCTGCCGCCAGGGCCTGCTCCACGATAGGGTTTCCATAAAGACTTGGGAAGAAATGAGTGAGTTCTAGACACAGAAGTGGGGGTAGGCGGCAGTGGGGGTAGACGGCTGTGGGGGTAGACAGCTATGGGGGTAGACGGCTGTGGGGGTAGACGGCTGTGGGGGGTAGACGGCTGTGGGGGTAGATGGCTGTGGGGGTAGACAGCTGTGGGGGTAGACGGCTGTGGGGGTAGACGGCTGTGGGGGTAGACGGCTGTGGGGTGTAGGCGGCTGTGGGGGTAGACGGCTGTGGGGTGTAGGCGGCTGTGGGGGGTAGACGGCAGCAGGTTGTAGGCAGCAGCGCGGGGCAGGCGGCAGAATTGTTTCCCGGGAGGAGTGAGGCCACGCCAGCCTCCTCCCTGCCCTCTGGAGGGAGGAGCCGACCCCCCTTGTCGCTCAGTCGTCCCCCTCTGCCCTAGGCCACGAGAAGAGCCTGCTGCGGGCCCTGCGGCGGCTGGACGACTACCTGACCAGCCCTCTGCCCGACGAGGTGGAGGCCAACGGCGCGGAGGACGTGGCCGTGTCCGGCAGGAAGTTCCTGGACGGGGACGAGCTCACGCTGGCCGACTGCAACCTGCTCCCCAAGCTGCACATCATCAAGGTCGGTGGCTCCGCCGCCCGGACGGGGCTGCGCGCGCACGTTTGACTCGTGGCCGGGGACAGCGCACGACCGGAATGCGAGGAGCCCGGCCACCGGTTCAGACACGCGGGGTCAGGTGTCCTCCGTCCTCGGGGCGTCCTCGTCGCTCTCTCCATGTGAACGCCACGGGAGGGGGTGCGTGGTCACACCGGCGTCTGACGCTGAGGCTGGGACCTGCTGAGTGGGATCTGTGAGATGAACTGGGACGGCCGCCGGGTGTGGTGACGGCCAGGCAGCCACGCTCCGTGAGGGGCCGGCCCACTCCCACGTGGGGGTTAACAACCTCAGTTAGTTCATATTCTCTCTCTCTCTCCTTCTCTCCTTTTTTCTTTCTTTTAAATATATTTTTGTCGATTTTAGAGAGGAAGGGAGAGGGAGAGAGATAAAAACATCAATGATGAGAGAGAATCACCGATTGGCTGCCTCCTGCATGCCCCCTACTAGGGATCAAGCCCGCAACCTGGGCCTGTGCCCTGACCAGGAATGGAACCATGACCTCCTGGTTCATAGGTCGATGCTCAACCACTGAGCAACACTGGCCGGGCAGCAGTCTCAGTTCTTAACATCAACCCCACAGCTGGGGAGCAGGGACAGCTCTCTGGCTTGGCCGCGGCCGCATCTGGCGTCCTGTCTCCCCAGATGTTGCGCGTGAAGTGAAAGTCACGGGTCATGCATCATTAGGGTTGAGAGATGCCCTGGGACTGCGGTTCTTCTGCACGAGAATTCAGACGAGATTTCAGCTGATTTCAGCTCGGGAAGGCATAGGAATTGTGGAAGCGGGAACCCCTCAACCTGGCCCCTGACCGTCTAACTCAGAATTCCAGGAGTGGCCCTGAGATCCGGGGGCTGATGGTCCCCCCTGGAATGCTGGGCCGTGGCTGTCCCGCAGGGGTACCCCAGCCCCTGTCACCTACACGTGTCAGCTACTAGGTCGTCGTCACCACTGCTATGCCCTGAGCCCTCAGTGACCTCAGATGCCCCAGGAAGAAGTCTTATTCCGAGGGCATCTTTATTATTCATACCCCACTGGGTCCAGAGCTGGGTCCTTGGTCTGGAACAGCGGTTCTCAACCTGTGGGTCGCGACCCCTTTGGTGGTTGAACGACCCTTCCACAGGGGTCGCCTAAGACCATCCTGCATATTAGATATCTACATTATGATTCATAACAGTAGCAATATTACAGTTATGAAGTAGCAACGAAAATAATTTTATGGTTGGGTCACAACATGAGGAACTGTATTTAAAGGGCCAGAAGGTTGAGAACCACTGGTCTAGAACAGTGGTCGGCAAACTGCGGCTTGGCCCCTTGAGTGTGGCTCTTCCACAAAATACCACGTGCGGGCGCGCACGTACAGTGCGATTGAAACTTCGTGGCCCAGCCCTAACCGGTTTGGCTCAGTGGATAGAGCGTCGGCCTGCAGACTGAAGGGTCCTGGGTTCGATTTTGGCCAGGGGCATGTACCTTGGTTGCGGGCACATCCCCAGGAGTGGGTGTGCAGGAGGCAGCTGATCAATGTTTCTCTCATCGATGTTTCAAACTCTCTATCCCTCTCCCTTCCTCTCTGTAAAAAATCAATAAAATATATTAAAAAAAATAAAAAAGAAAAGAAACTTCGTGGCCCATGCTCAGAAGTCGGTATTTTGTGGAAGAGCCACACTCAAGGGGCCAAAGAGCCGCATGTGGCTCTCGAGCCGCAGTTTGCCAACCACTGGTCTAGAAGGATGGGGGATGGGAGAGACGACCCAGCGCCGCTGTGCTCTAATACACACCAGTTAGAGGTGTACGGATGGGTTCGCACAGCCTGTGGCCCTGAGGCTCCTGTGGGCACCGCCCCTGCCCCCGCCGTGCCCTGCCTGCACTTCTTCCTTCTCCCGGCCCAAGCCCTGCCCTGCCCTGCCCCGGTTTCTTTTTTCTTCTCTCTTTCCTGTTGTGCTCGAAGGTACCTGTGAAATTCTAGCCTTAAAGATATTTCTGATCCCACAAGGGAGGGTTCTGAAAAGAGCATAGTAAATAGCTTTGTAGCGTTATAACGACAATATAAGTAACGTTGCCAGTGCTGACACCTGAGACCTAATGAGAGCGTGTTAACCCTCCCGCCTGCGGCCTTGGCGATGGTGCTCCTGTGACAAAAGCATTTCACATTTCAGTTTTAACAAAGCATTCAGAGCGAAGTAAAGCCGTCCATGGCTCCCATATAGAACCCATCAGCCGAGTCTCCAAAGCCCCTTGGCACTCAGATACCACACAGCCTCGCGGTCTCGCCGGCCGAGCATTTCCCACAGGACAGGAGAGTCAGTCTGAAGGGATTTATGGTGAAAGAGGAGGGTCTGACAGAGGGCTTTGTCATTTATTCCCCGTCCTGAAACCCAGCATTGGCTCCGTCTGTCACACGACCAGGAAGGGACAGACTCCAGCGGAGGACTGAGGGACGCCACCCAGAGTGACTGCCGCAGGGACGGCATGCGTCCGGTCTTCAGCAAGGCCGGGTGGCGCTAGGGTCCATCCCGCAGCCTGAGAGCCAGCACAGCGTCTCTGTCCGAGGAGGCGGAGATCACCTGGGAGCGGAGGCCTCTGGGGGGCAGAGCTGGAGGAGGAGCCACGGTGGCACCTTGTTTGCATTCTGTCACTGTCCCCTGACCCAGAGGACAGGGCGGGAGGTGCAGTGGAGGAGAGAAGGGAAGTGGCATTTTGCTTTGTGGCTGCTGACGAGACGTAAATGACCTGAGCTTGCCTCTCTCTCTCTCTCTCTCTCTCTCTCTCTCTCTCTCTCTCTCTCTCTTTCTTCCTCCCTCCCTTCCTCTCTTTCTCTTTCTTCCTTTCTTTCTTTTTAGAGAGGGGGGAGGTAGAAAAGCATCGATGTGAGGGAGATACATCTATCTGTTGCCTCCCATACACGCCCAGACTGCACCCCAACTGGGGATCAAACCTGCAACCTAGGTAAGTGCCCTGTCCGGGAATTGAACCTGTGACCTCCTGGTGCCCAGGATGATGCTCCAACCAACTGAGCCACACACACCAGGGCCTGAGCTTCATTTTCAGCCAAGGTGGCCTCCTGCCTAATCGGTGAGCCTCAGAGCGGAGGATGCCTCCCCTGGACCCTGACCCTAACGCGTCCCCTGTGACAGAGTGTAGAGCAGTCTTTGGAGAGACTGTTTGAGGGTAAATATTCAAATTGGCCAACCAGCGGCCCCGTCTCACTCCCTGGGCCCTTCACACTGGTGTTAAGCACATGGTTGGCGCAATGGGTCTTCCTTGTTCAAAGATGATTCACAACCAGAAAGAACTCATGTGGAAGCAGATGATCAAAAAGGGGAGGGAGGGTAAGGAGACGGGAAGCCGGAGGGAAAGGCGGTGGAAACACGCATCTGATGAAGAATTGCTCCCGTAAATTACGGAACATTCCAGACAGACGCGTCTCTACAGCCTCGGAGAAATGGAGGAGTACATGGATCTTTGGAGAAAAAAACTCAAAGGCAACACGCAGATGTCAAAAATAAGTATAACGTCACTGAGAAGAGGACAATCAGGCAGGCAGAGCTCAGGAAGAAGACAAATAACTCACTTCAGACGTAGAGGCTAGATGAGAGGCCACAGGAAGTAGAAATGGACGGTGCAGGCGTGAGCCGGGGCTTGGAGGGTGGGCCTGAGAAAACCGCCCCAAACCAAGTGGAAAGGAACCCGGAGGGAAGCTCCAGATGGACACGACCAGGCACAAGGGGACAGAAAGGGAAACCAAAAAAAGGGGGCGCAGAGGGAAAGTCACTTTGAACTAAAGTGCCGGGAGCCGGTCCATGCTTGCTGTTTCAAGGGACCTGGCATATATGGCATACTGTTCTTAATATGTTTGCTCACCTTCTTGGCACTATGTGTTTTAACCAAGGTCTCTGAGAAAGGTTGTTTCCCCAGGTAGGGATTTTCCCCTGAAGTTAGGGAGGGAATAAAACCTCTTAACTAAGTGCCAGGCGGGTAATTAATCACTTTAACTATGAACAATCATGCTTAAGCTACATAATCTTTACTCCCTGGAATGGAGATAAGAAACGCCCTAACCTTTGGAATAGAGATTGATAGGATTGAATCAACTGGTATAAATACAGATGTAACAAGTCAGAACTTAGAACACAGAACTTAGAACACAGAACTAAGAAGACAGAACCTACACAGAACCTAGAGACAGAAGAACTTCGCTGGAGAGAACATGGCAAAAGATCCTGGACTGAACCTGACTACAGAAATTGGCAAGAGAACCTGACTAGAACCTGGTGACTGAACCTGGCTGGAGAACCTAGCGAGAGAACATGGACACAGAACCTGGATGGAGATCCTAAGCAGAACCTCTCTGGAGATCCAAACCAGAACTTGGCTGGAGATCCTGGGTGGAGATCCTGGCTAGGCTGCTGATCAACTGAACACTGTCTCTGTGTCATTCCTTCTTCGCCAACTCCGTCCATACCTTTGGGGACCCCTGGACCTGCTGGGGTTGGACCCCGGCACTAAAGGATGCCCCAGGCCTTCAGTTTAAACAATATGCCCTTGTCCGGCCGGGTGGCTCAGTGGTTGAGTGTTGGCCTATGAACCAGGAGGTCACGGTTTGATTCCCGGTCAGGGCACATGCATGGGTTTCAGGATCGATCCCTGGTGTGGGGCGTGCAGGAGGCAGCCAACCGATGCTTCTCTCTCATCATTGATGCTTCTATCTCTCTCCCTCTCCCTCCCTCTCTGAAATCAATAAAAATATATATTCAAAACAAACAAAAGCCGCGATGGCAGAGAGAAAGCGGGCAAACGCAAGCACCGGGAGAGTGGGATGGCTGCCACGGGCACCAGTGGGCAGGGACTCCCGGGGGAGATGGGAAGCGAAGCAGGGGCTTTCTCCAGGCCACGCGTCCTGTTTGCGGCCACACCGCGTCCGTGGCTGCCGCCCCGCCCCCCCATCCGAGAAACAAGCCCAAAGACCTTCTAGTCTGTGGTTAAGCCCCAGGTGGCTTCACTCAGACACCCCAGATCCAACGCACACATCAGAGCTGGTTTTTGTAGCCCCAGATCCCTGTGAGGGGATGAGCTGTGTCCCCCAAATTCATATGGTGAAACCCCAACGCCAGGACCTTGGAACGTGACCTGATTTGGGAACAGGGTCTTGGCGGTTCCTGTCTGATTAGTAGGGTCACGTGAGGTTATATTGGAGTCGGGGGGCCCCAACCAATATGATTATAAAAAGGGGGACATTGGGCACAGAGACAGAGGGCGAAAACCGTGAGGAGTGGCATTCCGCTGTCACAGGACCGGGAACCGGCAGGAACCGGGAGGGGGACCAGACACAGTCCCCCATGGCCTGCAGAGGGCATGGCCCCCTGACACCTCGATCTTGGACTTCAGTCCACCAGGACTCAGAGAAGGAAGCTGTGTTGTCAGCCGCCCAGCTCGTGGTGCTGTCAGGGCAGCCCTAGGACACGGACAGTATCCTCACAGGGGATATTTCCTTTGTGACTACCTCCCCAACAGCACCCCTGCAGCCAAGGGAACATCGCACTGTTGTGTTGTCCGTGACATTTCCTGTCGGTTCCCTGCCCCTACCGTGTCCCCGGGGTGAGGACTTGAGTCTGTCCTCCGCACCCGGCCGACCACAATGCAAGGACCCTCAGTGGCAGAAGGTGGGTGTCTGCAGGCCTCACACAGACACGTGGGATCCAGGAGGCCCCGCGTGGACTTCACAGAGGACTGAGCACAGTCCGAACTGAAGATCCATCCTGAATCCTTCACCCCCAGCCCCCGGGAGCACAGCCCCCGGAGAGGAACCTGGGCCGCAGGGGAGTCCACGGGACACAGAGCCGGGTGGCTGTGAGAACTGTGGGCGGCATGGCCTGGAGCCACTGTGTGGAGGCCGGTACCTCTCTAACCTGCCCCGTCCCCAGTGTGTCCCCTGCGAAGTCAGCGTCACCCCTGCCGCCGGGGCCTTGGGGTGGCAGAGGGCCCCCCTCAGGGAGTGCGCCATCTCCTCGAGTGGCCGCGCTGGTGGGTTCCCCTCTGACCGTCTCCTCTTCGTTTTCAGATCGTGGCCAAGCGGTACCGAGACTTTGAATTTCCCTCTGAAATGACGGGCATCTCCAGGTACCTGAGAAACGCCTACGCCCGGGACGAGTTCACCAACACGTGCCCGGCCGACCGGGAGATCGAGCTCGCCTACTCGGACGTGGCCAAGAGGATGAAGTGAAGGGGGGCCTGGCCCGGCCCGGCCCGGCCGGCGCGGCTCTGGACGGTGCCCTCTGCGTCTCCCTCAATAGCCACCCTTTGCAGAGAGCGCCCCCGTTTTAGTAACGCCCCAGACTGGCCCTCTTACCACCAAACGGCACGGGGCTGTCACGTCCCCTCCCGCGTGCCTCTGAGCAGCACCGGCGCTGCCTGCTGTCCCCTCCGTCTGTCGTTCCTCTTCGTCACCGCCTCTGACGGTCACCGGCGTCGGGATGCCCAGGGCACGTGTTTTGCAGTTTAAGTTCCAAAGCAAATCAGGTTTGGGCTCAGTGCCTCCTTTAATGAAAACGGCGTCTGCCTCTGATATTCTCAAGTCGTTAGCCTGCTTTTCTCTCTAATAGTATTTTAACTTTTTTCAGAATGAAACAGCTGTTTTTGTAATTACCCAGTAACAGGTGCCGATTTTAACATTTTACACAATGTCAGAGAGTAGAGATAGAAGAAAAAGATCACTTGAAATTTCACTGCCCTGAGATAACCACTGATAACCGACTTGGGCGTCTCCAGACCTTCCGTGTCTCTCTCTTCTCCCCCCCACCCTGTCCTGCCCCCCCAACACTTCATTCCTGCCTGACACTGCAGTACGTTATTTTGAAGGACTGGCGAGGGGGCCTCTTGTGATGCCTCGGGGATCGCTGTGGAGGACCCAGAACAAACCGCCGGCCATGCAGGGCTAGGGAGGTGCTTGCCACCGGGTTTCCAGGGTGGAGAGCGGGGGAGTCCACAGACCCGCAGGGACCGGCAGGGACCAGGAGCTGTGCTGGCCCCGCTCTGCCGAGGTGATGCCCTCGCCTCAGGGCCCAGGGGAGCCTGCATCCCAGCCCTGCTCCCGGCCTTCTCTCCCCTCCCCTCACACGGAGACCTGCCCCCAGGGGGACTCTCAGCCTCAGCCGCAGGGAGAGAGAGAATTCCCTGCCCTGGGTTACAGGTGAATTGAGCCCTAGATCCCGGCCCACGGCCGCTCTCTAAGCCTGGGCACTGCGCCTGTTCAGTGACCCGTGGGCCAGCCTGGTTCTCGCTGCTGCTCTGCCCTTTGTCATGTCATCTCGGGATCAGGACGGGAAAACCCAGAGAGATGAAGTTCACGGCGACGGCGGCAGCTCTGGTAACCGGTCGGGCTGGGAGGAAGTGGAAACCACTGAGGCAGAGCTTTCTGGCAGCCGGGGCTCCCCGCCCGCGTCCCTGCAGCCCATTGGTGTGGGCCGGTGGGGCTCCGCTCAGGCCCCAGGCGGGAGGACAAGACCTCCCAGGGCTTCAGTGTTACCTGCCCGCCTTCCTCTGACATTGACACTCATCTCAGAAACCCTCCTGGAGAGCGGATCGGGCCTGTGGCTCCCGCTCAAATGCTCATTAAAGGAAGAGACTGCGCCAGCGCGATGGGGGTCGTTTGGAGGAAGGTCAGATGGGGTCTCACTGGTCTGGGACCCATCGAGCAACGTCCAGGGAGAGTCGCGGCGTCTGCACGTGTCACCAGTACACGCGTCACCGCTGCTTAGGAGCCAGATGTGTAAGCGAGTTTTGCGATGTCACCTTCAAACTGGGTCCGTGCACGGACTACCCTCTGTCACTACCGCTAACCTGGCACTTTCAGACGTTAACCGTGATCTCATCAACGCCACACGCCTTAAAATTAAACCAATTACAAAGCTGCTTGGGTGGAACTGATGTCCTTATTTATTTGCTTGTTTTCGCTTTGCATTCTCCACTGAGATGGAGGAAAAGGGGAAAGGACATGGGTGTTCTTTAAAGTGGCGAGCGCGGCGCCAGAGATGAGTGTGGTTGGTTGAGAGTCAGCCGAGCTGAGTGTGAACCACAAGACGTTTCCCCGGGGCCTCAGGTCGGAAAGGATGCCTGTGACGTCCCGTCCGGGTGGGTGTGGAGAGGCCCTGCTGACTCTGGGGGTCTAAGAACATTTTTTAAACCCAAGTGTGACTGGCAAACAATATGACGTTAGTCTCCCGTGTACCACGCAGTGATGGGACGTTTACATGCCTCACGATGGGTCACGTGGACGTCTAGGGACACTTGTCGCTATGCACACTTATTATGACACTAGAGGCCCAGTGTACGGAATTCGTGCACTGGGGGGGGGGATTTCCTCAGCCCAGCCTGCACCCTCTCGCAGTCCAGGAGCCCTCGGAGGATGCCACGGAGGCGGGAGAGGCTCTCGCCACTGCCGCTGTGCTCGCCAGCAGTGAGCCCGGCTCCTGGCGCACTGACCATCAGGGGGCAGCTCCTGCATTGAGCGTCTGCCCCCTGGTGGTTAGTGTGCATCATAGCGACTGGTCATTTCACATATTAGCCTTTTATTATATAGGATGTGCTGCTGCCAGGGACCTCGCTTTCACATGCAGCTGTAACTCGTGGCATTCCTGCAGGAGCCCCGCCCCCCACCCCCTGCCCCACCCCCTGCAAAGCTGCTCTCGTGGTGGGGGGGCAGAAATGGTTGGGGCCGCTGGGCTGGCATCAGTCTTTGCTACATGTGGTTTCGGAAACAAATGCCCAGTTCTTCAAACCCACCAGGCAGAAGGCAAGTAGGCACACATGGGGGGAGAACCCCTCCTTCCAGCTGTGAGAGGTTCTCTGGGGGAGGGGTCCCCTTTCTTTGGCCCAAGAGACCCGACAGTGAGAAAAGGGGGGCTTCACGCTGCACACAGCCCCAGTGTAGGTTGATCGGAACCCGGAGTGTTGCCAAGGTGGATTTCTGGACGCCGCCCAGCACCGGGGGTGAGAGAGCGGGCTTAGCCCGGGGAAGGCCTGTTGGAGACACACGTCCGAGTGATCAGTCAGTCTCTCGGAGCCTTGCTCTTCTCACCTGGGAAGCGGGAACAGCCGCCCAGTCATGTGGCGCTCCGTGGGCTCAGGCTGCCGTGGAAGCCGCCCCGCCCGGGGCTGCAGTTTTCGCCTGGTTTTGCTCTTCCGTGTGTCATGTCAGATGGGACCGGCCCGAGCCCACAGGCCGGCCGCCCCCAGAACTGTTCTCACAGCCGGAAGCTGTGCCGCCTGCAGGTGGCCCTCCCCGTCGGGGGGTGTAACCGTGGGAGGAGGAGGGCTGCGCTGGGGCTCGCGTGCACCCGTGACCAGGTGAGGCCTGGCCCAATGGGCGGTCACCTGCCCAGACCTCGCGAGGTCCGGACCACGGGCCTCAGGCCTCAGGCCTTGTATCGCCAAGAGAGGAACTGGGCCCATGGAGTCTCGGGTGTCCTTTTTAGCCACAAAATGCTCTGATTTTAATAACAAACGCTCCTCACGCAGCTGAGCTGTGACATGCTCCCCGCCTCGGAGAAGCCGGGGACTCTCAGCCCCAGAGCTGAGGCTGACCGAGTCCCGCGTGGGGTGTTTCCCAGACCGCCTCCTCCTGAGAGATGTTCAATCACACAATGTCGCTATTTTAAAAAAAATTAAATTTAAAAAGTGTGTTTTTAAACGATTTTTATTCTTGTGTTTTTATGTTCTGGGAACAACATGATTTTTTTAGGGGGAGACAAATCTAGTCAAAGCTGCTGGCTTTGTTCTCAGCCTCTAGCTCACTCGCCGCTCAGTGCGCCGGTTGTGCGTGGACCTCTGAACCAGGAGGTGAGGGTTCGATTCCAGGCCTCAAGGCATAAGCCAGTGCTGCAGGCTCCATCCCAGTGTGGGGCGAGCAGGAGGCAGCCCAGCCCACCGCCGATTCTCTCTCTCCCTCTCCCTTCCTCTCTCCCAAGTCAAAACAAACATATATTTTTTAAAAAAGGTAATGTTGGCAGAGATAAACACCGTTTCCCTGACTAGACGTGAGTGTGTGGTTTCAGCCCGTGCGATCCTCAGAGCCAGGCTTTCTGTCTTCATCCTGAGCACATGTCCGGCTCTGGGCTCCCTGAGCAGGTCGCCACCAGGGTGGGGCGCTCGGGCCTCAGGACTGGACCCCAGACCCGCCCTCCGTTGGGGGGTGGGGGTGGGGTGGCTGCAGAAGCGGTGTGACCCTCCCCCCAGGACCAGGCAGCACCCCTGACTCTGAGACCTCGGGGTGCCCTGCCCGGCCGCCGGGGAGCTGAGGAGACCGTTCACAGCACCCGCATGTCACTGGGACTCGCGCGGGGAGGGTGCCGCTGGGCTTCTGGGCAGGTGGACGCTGCCCGGTTGGCAGAGGTTCCCAGGTGATGTGTGACGCGCCACCTTGCAGGGACCACCACCTCCGCACCTGCACCGGCCCTGCAGCCCCTGCAGGTCGCCCCGAAGCCCTGTGGGGTCCGCCCGGCGTTTGGAGCTGGGGGCACAGAGGGGCCTTGGCCACCTGCGCAGGACACCTTCCCAGGCTGCTCCCGGGCCTGGCTCTCGCACATGCATCACAACGAAGAAAAGCCACTGGATCTGGAACCCAGAACCGGGGAGAGCTTAGTGCCCGAAGCTGCTTGTGGAGCAAGTCATGCCTGGAGGAAGGTGAGTCCAGCTGCCCGCACGCCCCGCCCAGCACACAGGACCGCAGGGGTGAGGCAAGCCACACACACACACACACACACACACTCACACACACACACACACACTCACACACACACTCACTCTCACACACACATACACACACACTCACATACACACACACTCACACACACACACACTCACACACACACTCACTCTCACACACACATACACACACACTCACACACACTCTCACACACATACACACACTCACATACACTCTCACACACACACACACTCACATACACACACACACTCACACTCACATACACACACACACACACTCACATACACACACACTCACACTCACATACACACACTCACACACATACACACACATACACACACACTCACACACACATACACACACACACTCACTCTCACACACACTCACACACACACACTCACACTCACACACACACACACACTCACACACTCACACACACACACACACTCACTCTCACACACACTCACACACACTCACACACACACACACACACTCACACACTCTCACACACACACACACTCACATACACACACACACTCACACTCACACACACTCACACACATACACACACATACACACACACTCACACACACACACACTCTCACACACACTCACACACACACACTCACACTCACACACACACACACACACTCACACACACACACACACACTCACTCTCACACACACTCACACACACTCACACACACACACACTCACACACTCTCACACACACACATACACACACACTCACATACACACACACACTCACACACACGCACACACACACACTCACACTCACACACACACTCACACAAACACACACACTCAAACACACACACACACACACACTCTCACACACACATACACACTCTCTCACACACACACACACACATCTGAGAGTCTCCTCTAGGGGCCTGGGAGGGCCTGGGAGGGGCGGGGAGGGTCTGAGAGGGGCGGGTGGGGCCTTGGAGGGGTGAGGGAGGGTCTGGGAGGAGTGAGGGAGGATCTGGGAGGAGTGAGGGAGGGTCTGGGAGGAGTGAGGGAGGGTTTGGGAGGAGTGAGGGAGGGTCTGGGAGGGGCAGGGTGGGGCGAGGGTGGGCCTGGGGCCTGGGAGGGGTGGGAGCAGCCAGAGTACTCAGCTTGGATATATATTTTTTAATTTTTTTATTGATTAAGTTATTACATATGTGTCCTTATCCCCATGTCCCCCCATCCCCCCACTCAGCTTGGATTTTTACCGGGGGTCTCAGTAAACCCTTGTAGGGCAGGAAGCGGAATGCACAGCGGAGCTGGTGTGTGACACTCAGCCACCAACAGGACGCTGGCAGGAGGACCAGGCCACAGTGGCTGCTCTTACCCCGCAGAGATGAGCTCCGGCCACGGTCAAGGTCGGTCTCCTCTGGCCGGGGCTTAAGTTGCCCAGGAATCGGTGCAGGGGACTCTGGGTTAATTCAGACACTTCTCACAAGCAGTAGCCCAGTATGCAATGTTTTTGATGACCTTTTAAGATAGAAGAGGTTATTCAGGGACAAAGCATGCCCCCCTTTAAAGTCATTTCAGAAGTGCCTGCCGGCCTGGCTCAGGGGTTGAGCACTGACCTATATGCACCAGGAGGTCGCAGTCCGATTCCGGTCAGGGCACATGCCCGGGCTGGGGGCTCGATCCCCAGTAAGGGGCGTGGGGGTTCAGAATGCAGCCAATCCATGATTCTCTCTCATCATCGATGTTTCTCTCTCTCCCTCTCCCTTCCTCTGTGAAATCAATAAAAATATATATTTTTTAAAAAGCTGTTTAAAATGATTTCAGAAGTGGCTCACTTTACTTGAGTGAAGAGTGTGAATGTGGCCCGTGTGGGTGCCGAGTCCATGTGGATGCTTCTGGAAGACCACACTGGCGTCTGGGTTTTGTATCCCATCAGCGTGTCCTCAGGCTGCAGCTTCTGCCTACCTGGGTCCCCCACCGTCCCTAACTGGGACTCTGAGTGCCTGCGCCAGGAGCTGCCTGGCCTCCGCCGGCCGGTCCCGGGGCTCCTCTGTGGGGGGCTTCCCTGCAGCTCTGGGACCCGCCGGGAGAGAGGATGGGCAAGTGCCTGAGCATGGACGCCTGGGAGAGAGCGGAGAAGGGGGCTCCTTCCTGGTGGCCGGGCTGGGCCTCCCAAGGCAGCGCCGCCTCCGGGTCAGGGAGCGGA